GTCAAAACATTGATGTAGGCAACCAAAATTTAGTTGGACCAGAATGTGCATGCTAATATGACTTACTTTTTTCAGTGTTTTTCAGAAACGTAGGTTTAGAGTTTGGACCAGAATGTGGCTGGTCTTTATGTCTATATTGTTCATTCAGTGGTCTATAGTTTGAAAATATTGCAAGATTAATTATAGGGAAGAAGTTAATTTTTTTTTAATAACAAGCATACATGGAACAGAATATAAAGATCCAAAAGAATTATATAGCTCGTCAACTTCATAAATTTATGATGCATTTTTTCAGACTCCAGGATTACTAAACTCGAAACATCCTTGAGTAGTGGTAAGATTTAGAGTGAAGAATCTGTTAGTGACATTTTATCTTTTCATACAATTTATGTTTTTAGTTTTGTTCTTTTGGCTTTTCATGTCACAGTTATCACCCAATTTGGCATGGTTGTACCCACTTAGGTCTGCAAAATTAAGTCCACTTTATGCAATCTCAAGTTTTTTTTCTCCCTGATCTTTGAATGTAAAATTTTGATGTTATATAAAACTAACCCTTCTTTCTCTGGGTAGGGGAAGAACGTGTATTTGCTTTCTTTGTTTTAATATCATTTTGTCCACAACCCCTTGTAATTTGGGCTTTGACAAAACAATTATAATTGTTAGTTTTATTTTTCTTAGTATAATTTTAATACAGTTATTTGATTAAAATTTATTTCAATTATTATTTTTAAAGTAATTATTATAAAAATACTTTTCCCATTGTGATGTTTTGTTATGACAACATTCTTGGAAGCTTAGGACAATTTGGAGTTATAGCAAAAGCGAGAATTGCTCTTGAGCTAGCCCTTAAAAGGGTACGTTTATAAAGAATTAACTAGAATTTTATCTTGTATTTTCCTCCACCAATTCATAGTGATGCCAAATTAAATTGTCATTTTTTTTATGGTGAATTTTCATTTTGTATATCTACCACATGGCTGTTGGCACAAACATACCGCAGATTTCATTTAATGTTGGTGTATTAGTCACCCATGATAAACACTTCACAAATGAAAATAGGATGAGTTATACGTACGTAAAAGTTTTAACCATTGAATGTGGAGGTGCCCAAGGAAGGGGTCTTGAGGAAGGTGGAAATGGTGGTGTGCCAGGAGGTAGGGTTCTCGATGCTCATTTCTCATTCTGTTTTTACATTTTATCATTGATTTAAAATGGGACTTTGTCTATATGGTCAAACTCATTTAATTAATCAAAATAATTATAAGGTAATAATCTTTATAAATACAAAAATAAATAATAATTATTTGTAGTATTAGTAGAAAAATTTGGGATGTTACAATTGGTAGACCTCTAACATATGTATAGTTTCTTTGGTTTATATACCTTGCTACATTAATTACATTGTGTTTAAGTCTTATCAATCTAAATTTGGTTTAAATAACTTGCTACACCAAATAGGGTGCATTACATCAAAGAAAATGAAAATCCAAAAAATTCTTTCTTTTATTAAAGCTTATTCTTTAAATATTTTAAAATATGCGGGTGATTGTCGTATATTTTGAATTATATTTAAAAAAAGATTAATATAGTTATTTATTGAAGGTTTAGAACATTAATTATCATAGTATTTTAACTTGTGCAATGCACATGTTAAATATTTATTATATAATTAAAATTTAAAATAACTATGTAAATAAATAAATAATATGTTTGAATATGTAAATTATTTTTAAATTTTAAATAAATAGATATTTTTAAATATATAAATTATATTTTAGATTTATGATATATAATTTATATTGTAGCATAATATTATATTTATTTCTTGATAATTTATTTTAAAATATTAAAATTTAATTCATAAAAAGTATAATAAAACAAAAATCAAATTATATATGAAGTTAAAAGATGAATTCCTAAAAAGTCTCTTTTCGAAGAAAAACTCTTAAAATCATTTTTGTGTGTGCGAGATAGCCGATTGTGTTTTATATATAAAGGTTGATTAATTAATTTAGTTTTTTATCTAAAAGATATTTTAATTAAATTCAATGTGGACATGGTCTTTTAAACAAAGTCTTATTTTATATTTTGACTTGGTATTTCAAAAGTTGGTTATATGTTATCCTATTAACTTGGTTAAAGATGGTTTTGAGAAACATTTTTTCTTCATTATTATAGAAAATTTTGAGAATGTCTTCCTTACATCACTTTATCACTTTACGATTTTCATACATGAGTTCTCACTAAAAACTTGTTAGTTTTATTACCCCAATTATTATTGAAAAAGACATGTTATATCTTGGAAGACTTGCATATCACACAAATAATTCCATAAAAATAGTATTATCACATGTCTTAGATTATTAATGTTTATGATTGTACAAGTTTCAAATTAAAAGGTAAATCATGGTTCATGATTAATCGTGAAGAGAAACAATTTATAAAACATGAGAAAGGGTATCCATCTAACAACGAACAATATAGTTCCTAAAGCTTGAACTTCATTGTACATATAAGTTTGATAATACAATAATTTTCAGCAAGTTTTATCCTTTAGTAATTTCTTAGTGAAGTCTAGTTGAAGCTAACTTGTTTTGTATCATGGAATACTTAAATTTGAATCATAAAGAGATTTTCTTAAAAGAATACTTTGAATTTTGTTTAGAAAAACAAGTAAAAGACTATTTCAGTTGAACATGAAGATACTTGCAAAACCAATATTTATAACTTGGATAAATTATAGTAAAATTTGATGGTGTACCAAGAATTGAATGTAATCTTAAAGTTAAGATGAACACATATAAAAATATTTGTGTAATTTTTTTTCTTGCTCTCTATGTTGACTAGTAACAATTATGTTTTAAAACCATAACTCGTTTAATTAAAGCATTTTTTAAGATATCAAAGTTTTTTAAATCGTTCGAGGATAAAAGAGTTTTTTGTAAATATCATCTTAGAAGTCAGATGAAGCTCACTTTTTCAAAAAGTATTTGCAAACATTTTCTAAGATACAATTTAGTTCTCCTTCTTGTATTTCTCTCTTTTACAGAATACATTTTTCATTACAGAATACATTTTTCATTAGACAGAATAATATATATATATATATATATATATATAAGGAGGGTTATAATGACACCGGTGTAACTTACTAAGTATTATACAGCTCAATAACTTTATATTAAATGTGAATTTTGTAAATCTAACCGTTAGATTGAAAGTTCATATCACTTTATATTTTTATATCAAATTTTGTTAAAATTGAACAATAACTTGAAAATAATAAAAGTGTTCATATTTTAGTATATTTTGAAATAAATATATTACGTTAACTTTGTTTTATAAGAATGAAGTATTAAATCATCTTGGATTAATATAAAATTTTGTATATATGATCTAAGAGTAAAGAACTTTCAATCTAACGGCTGGATTTACAAAATTTACATTTAATATAAAATTATTAAGAGGTATAATACTTAGTAAAATTTACACGGTATTATTATAATCCTCCTATATATATATATAGAGGTTATAATTATACCGGTGTAACTTTTACTAAGTATTATA